ATCTGCAATTTCATAAACATTATACTTGAAATTCTCCTAAATATTGAAATTTATCAAACAATTGTGACCATTATCTCTTTGCTATGTGAAAGTCTCTTGACTTATTAAAGTGCAACTCTTGTCATTTCCTCATTTACTATCTATAGGGTTTGTATTCACGAGTTGCAAGTCCCTCATATTGAATGGGCCTGCACTTTTCTTTTTGTTTATATTTTCATGTGAATAAGCTTTTGAATTATACGTCTTTATTGTTAGCTCTTTTTTTCTTTTTTCTTTTTTTTTCTAGTTTTACTTTGGATTAACAAAGTTTTGATTAAATTCCTGTTACAAAATGCGGAATCATGACCACGAATTTCTGTGTTATATAATCCATAATTGACTGAGAAAGCTTGAGTAATCTCATTTCATTTCGTTTTGAATGATCTTATATTCGTCTAATTTTATCATGATATGATATAAACAATTAACTTATTGACAATTGCATCCCATTTTTTCAAGTTAGAGCTGATAATATCCTCTCTTTTTTTGCTTTTATCATCCCTAGATTATTGTGTTTTGTCAAAGTTGTCTGCTTTCTTGTTCCGCATCCAATATTGCAGAGAATTAGTGACTTCTAACTTATGCCTTTAAAATCTAATTCAGGGACTGTTGTGGAACCACAGGCCACCTTCACTGAACCCCTGTTGCTTAATGCTGTTCGAGGGTTTGATGTTGAAAGACCTCCAGTTTGGCTTATGAGGCAAGCAGGGAGGTACATGAAGGCAGGTTTTGCACCAATGTTTTCAAATGGCATATACTGTGTTTCACTTATGTGATAAGACTTTATGCTTGTCTTTTTTACTCTGCATATTGTATGGCTTCATTGTATTTCTAAGTTCCTATTCGACGTTTCCTGTAGTGAAAAATATTATGCACTGGTGTTGCTGACCTCTCATCGAGTTCTTTACTTAAAAGGCTCATCTATTGACTTGTTTTTAATAGTTCCTTTATCTACTCTTCTTAGATCTTAAGGAGGATGTTAGGTTATTTCTGTTTGGTTTCATATTACATTTCCCTTTTCTATTGGTCTCTTATTACAATTGCTTTGTATGATAGAGTTATCAAACCATTTGTGAGAAGTATCCTTCATTTCGTGAAAGATCAGAGAATGTTGATCTGGTGGTGGAAATTTCTCTGCAGCCGTGGAATGTTTTTAAGCCTGACGGGGTTTGTTATTATTCTTATACTTGCTTCCTTTGAAATGAACTCCTTTGTTATTACATTCTTTTCTCTTTAAATCCTCATCCTTCTTTGGTCGGGGTAAATTCCTATCTTTTGAAAATAAAACTGTTACAGTAAGCACTCTCTTTTTCACTGTTTCTGAATTGTAAGCAATCCTCTTCTAAATCCATATCTGTTGTGACAGGTCATTTTGTTTTCAGACATCCTTACCCCTCTTTCTGGGATGAATATACCTTTTGACATTGTGAAAGGTAAGGGTCCTGTTATCTTTGATCCTATACACACTGCTGCCAATGTTGATCAAGTGAGGGAATTTGTTCCTGAGAAGTCAGTTCCTTATGTTGGGGAAGCATTGACAATACTGAGAAAAGAGGTAGATGTTTTCAAAAATTTCTTTCCTATTGGGAATGCCTTATTTTGTTCATTAAGTTCAATAGTCTCATTCATAACAAGGCATTTCAGTTTCATCTACATTGATACCATTTCACTTGTTCCAAATATAATATCAACTGTTCCTCACTCCTGTTTTCCTTTTACTAGGTAGATAATAAAGCTGCAGTTCTGGGCTTTGTTGGGGCTCCTTTCACCCTGGCATCATATGTGGTTGAAGGTGGTTCATCAAAACACTTCTCGAAAATAAAAAGAATGGCATTTTCTCAACCAAAGGTAGTTTCCCTCCCTCATTTTCTTATTTCTTATGCATAGAGTCTGGAAAAAAATGAGATCTAATTGTAGTATGTTTCTTCATACTTTATTGCGGCTAGTTTAGTCTCTCTGATCTTTAAGTGCGGAGATATCATCTCAAAACAAATCTTTGCTGCTGACCAAGTCCTTAAAGTTGATGTCTATTGACCTTATTTTCCTCCCACAGGTACTCCATGCATTGCTTCAGAAATTTGCAACTTCCATGGCAAAGTACATCCAATACCAAGCCAACAGTGGAGCTCAAGCTGTTCAGATCTTCGACTCATGGGCAACAGAGCTCAGTCCAATAGATTTTGAGGAATTCAGTCTACCCTACTTGAAACAGATTGTGAATACTGTGAAACAGACCCATCCAGACCTTCCTCTGATCCTTTATGCAAGTGGATCTGGTGGCTTGCTTGAAAGGCTAGCATTGACAGGTGTGGACGTAGTTAGCCTGGATTGGACGGTTGACATGTCTGAAGGTAGAAAGCGGCTAGGATCCAACATAGCCGTTCAAGGAAATATCGATCCTGGTGTTCTTTTTGGTTCAAAGGAGTTTATCACTGACCGGATAAATGATACAGTGAGAAAAGCAGGGAAAGGCAAGCACATATTGAATCTTGGTCACGGAATTGTTGTAGGTACCCCAGAGGAAAATGTTGCCCATTTCTTTGAGGTTGCTAAAGCAATAAGATACTAAAAGCAGAAATCAGGTTAGTTAACCCCCTGCGGATGAATGAATTGAGTTTATGTATCATTAGTTTAGTCACCTTTTCTTGGTCCTTCATTCTTTATCAGCAGTTAAAATTGCTCCAGGATGAAAATAAAATCACTGGATAGCAATTTTTCTTCTTTTTTTGGTTTAATGTGTAACCTATACTTTGTTCAATTATTCTCTTCATGGGCTCTGATGGTTTAGCAAGCCTAATGCCTAAGCAATTAACCCCAACACTTTAAAATTTGAATACGAATCACTTGGATCCGAAGTTGTAGTTCATGATATTTTTTTCTTGATGATAACAACAACAGAAAGGGATGACTCAACTGACAGCTTGGGGACTACTAACCTAACAATAGAAATGACGACAGATGTGAAAGTGACGACAGTTTGTACTAGAGGCGGAGCATTCACGCTCTCTCATATATATTATGAGGTGGTTAAGCAACATGAAAATTGTGTATATGAAATTTATATTTAATTTAAAATTAATTAATTTTTGTAATTATGTATTTATAAAATTATATATGTCATGTGATTTAATAATTTTTTTTATATGGGATTTGATATTAACTTTAAATTTCTTTAGGTGGGATAATAATTGATTTTT